AATTTTTGCCTGAACTTTTCTCTTAAGAGAATCTCTTTTAAGGCAAGTCATCCCACCTGTGGTGTCAGATCTCTTAACTCAATACCATGAAATAATTCAAGAACAGAACACAAAAAATATCTGAAACAAACCAGATCTTTCATGTTCCATTCACAATCAAACCCATTCATTTAATCATTCCAGATAGAGAAATCAGCTTAAAGAGAGCACAAACCAGAGGAACACTTGTCACTCCTCAGTCAATCAACTCCTGATCTGTGTAGTCCTATGTGCTTTCTATAGGCAAGAATCACCAAAACACTAGGAAAATTCCAGACATTCAAAAAATCAGTGAAATAGGACACAGTTTGATGTTTTTACGAGAGGTGAATTACTCTAGAGTCACATACAGAATGAAAGCCATTCTTGGGACAAATAAATAACATTCTGGAACACATCAATAACAGCTTCATAAACAGCTCACTATAMACGAACTGTAATAAAAGCACTAGAACTCAAACCCTCCAGGTTTTCAGCCACAAACTCAATTTTCCAGCTTATTCTTGTCCCTCCAAAGCAAATAAAATGAACAGTTTCTGGAATTCATTTTTCAACTCTCAAATTATAAGCAGCAAATTCTTACATAAAAGAAGGTTTCTGCAAAAGCTGTAAACCATTTGAAGATACTCTAGATGCATATGAGATATAAAAAGCTATCAATGACCTTTTGGCAAAGCTTTGCCTCGCACTCTACTCTACAGGGAAAAGGGCAATTTTCCTCCAACTGTACCTTCACATACATTTTCTGAGATCAAGTTATGGTCAAATTGCCAGGTAACCCTATTTTCAATTTTCTTCATACATTTTTACAACACTCTCATTTCAGCAGTATTTACTATTATCACTCCCAGCAGTCAAAGTTGTTTGCATAAGGTGTTATATGCCAAGAACCTGTTACTTGAAAGGAAGACCTTTTCTGCCTCCACAGCAGATTTGTAGGTGGAGAAAAGCAGCCTCGCAGAGAAAAAAAGCGGAGGGAATCAACATAATATCATAGACATGATATTATAARTAATATAATATAGGACAGAGTAGAAAATGCATGAGGCATCCGTCTCTAATGGGACTCAACCACATTTATAAGATTTTTTTTTCATGCAGTTTCAACTAGTTTGCTGTAGAAAATTGTCATAATGCTYCCTCAAAGGCTGGAAGCCTAACTGTAGACAGGTCTACCCAGAACTTGTGTTATCACACATAACACACACCTAAGTGTTTCTAGYCCTGTTTCACTGCTGAAGGAGTAGGATACAAATCACTGTAACACTTAAAGGCTGCCCTCAGGAAGATCAGAGGAATAGAGCTCTCCAAGGAGAAATGCCAAGAGCTACACTATAAATAGCATGTTTGGATATACCTAACCCTACTTTAATTTCACAATGCCTTAAAAGTTACTGAATGTTCTTAAGCAATGCAGACTAATATAAAGAGAATACCCAGAGCACAACTGTTAAGAATTCCTTGCCAAAATAAAGGCATATGGAGAGAGGCTCCACATGACATGTTCATAGTTTGTTTCTATCCAATACGTAAATTGCTCCCCCAGAGACTGGAACAAGAGAGATGCTTCTTCCTTCCAGACAACATGGAGATGGGAAGGACCATCAGTAGGCCACATGTTGAGAATGAAAATGGCCACAACCAAGAAAGAATATGGTTCTGAACAAAACCATAATGTAATTATGGATGTAATTTGATAAAGGTGATAAAGGACAACTGCACAGAAAAGAAAAAAAAAAAAAAAAGAGAAAGGCTGCTTATTAGACCAAGCTACTTGGAAAGGATCTGACGGTCAACACACATCAACAAATTGAACGTGAAATCAGTGTGTTGTTGGTGCCACACAAGAGGTAATCACCGTCACAGCAATGTTCAGTCTAACTCAGGYCACAAGTTTTGTTAGAGAAGGTTTCAGGATCTGCCACCCCGAAACAGCCATCACTCCAAATGGGCAATTACTGCTCAGCAGCCAGTAATGAACCATGGACATTTATCCTACTGAAATGTTTGTTTCCTTTGCATTGTTAGCATTTAGAGCAATACTGAATGTAAGGTACAATGACAGATACGCCAGTGATTTACTGGAGGAAAGAGAGTTCTGTTGCTCACTGAAGTAATGCTGTTCACAGGACATAATTCCTAGTTTAAGGGGAAAAACACTTCTGTATCTGAGGAAGAGAAATAAGCATTAAGTTAATTACAAAGAATTGCAAAACTGAGCTCTGAAAAAAGGAGGAATGAGTTCTGGAGTGAGACAATAAATTTCTTCTGACATCTCAGAAGTCTTGCAATGRAAGATCACATTTAAAACCTACTACACTCCCTTCAAGACAAATATTCAAGTGAGTCCACAGAAAAGGGTGCCCGAATGTGAATTATTAGGCAAGTCCAGTCAGACTCTCCTTAGCAGGAGCATTTGCCAAGGGAGAATTTCACAGAGCCCAAGAACCTCAACTGCTACAATGGAACCATGTATTTATCTCACAGTAAGTAGATTCATACTTGAAAGTAGTGTAAGTAGACTAAGTACAGATTTTGTTTCATTTCTTCAATCATGTTTTACAAATATGTGATTATGTRATTATATTTAGGTATTTCAAACAATACTTTTAGTTTACCTTAATCTGTTTTAACCTATGGCCCAGCTAACCAGCACAGACTCTGCCATGTCCACAAGCAAGAGAGGTGCTTCCCCTCCCATCACACAGAGCAGGTTCTGGCCCTGCAGGACGAGACCCAAGTGCACCCAGGGACTCACAGCAACTAAAGAGGCTCTCTGACATAAAACAGGATTCCAGAGTGCACACTTATCCCTTGCAGCTGTTAGGGTCTGCTGGGGTCTAGGTCACATGTAGATCTCCTGCTGATTCCTTTCTACACTCCAGGTATCCTTGCTTATTCTCCTCTCATGGGAAGCAGGCTATGGCTCTGAAATCTTTGCATTATTTCAAAGGCAGGTGTACGTGCAGAAGCAAGCACATTAAGTGTTATAATTATTATTGAAATGTGGGCAYCTCAAACTTTTGGAACCTGCACTGTTCAAGAAATCAGACACTTTGTTCAGAATTCTTGAAATAACATTTGAGTTCTGAATGCAAGCACATCATATTAAATAAGTCATACTGGTTTTGATATTTTTGCTTCTGCTGTGTTTACATTCCTRTTCAGTACAGAAAGACTTCAGTCTGATTGCAAAGATTCAGGTGGTACTTGAGGCCAACTGATAAATGAGTTAGTGGAAATAGACTGAATTTTTACCGGTCTTACCTAGAAATATAAAAAATGGAAAAACAATACTAAACCAACAGTTTTGTTTCTGAATCTTAAAAAGAATCCTCCATTCTTTTGGTTTTGTTATTTCACTTGTCCAGGAACTGGATAGAGAAAATGCCAATTACTGTCAGAGAAGAATTAAAACCTCAGTTGCTCTGTTTGCTCACTCCAAAATCCCAAAGATAAATACAAAGCAATCTTTGGGAAAAAGTGATTTCTAACAAGTCTGTCTGTGGAAATAGAAAGAACTGAATATAATCTCACAGTAAAATACTGCTGCTGAGAACTCCATTCAAGAAAATCATTTGTGAATGCTAGGTAAATGACTTTTACCTCAAGAGCATGTCAGAGTAATTGAGCATGTGTTAAGATAATTAAATTTTCTCAGTGATAAAGATTTGAAACTTGAAAAGCAAAACTGTAAGCTACAATTCTGTAAGATTTAAGAGTAGTAAGTGAAATATCTTTCATTTTAGACAGGTTCTTGCAAAACATCTTCCATTCTCAGAACAAGCAGTTTAAATGATAATACTTTAGGATGTATTTTTGATCACTAAATAGCATTTAGATCATGGAGGTTTTCCAAAGCCAGCTTCTTTAGCTACTTCATCAATAAAGGCATTTTTTTTCTCTTACACGAATAACATTGACAATGTAGAATGACCATTTCTCTAAAGCTTAAAATTTTGCATYCTCTCCATGTGTCAGAATTTATTTCAGCTATTCAGTATTGGATCAGTTTGAAATATAAAAAGAATACATTTGGCAACATCCAAGATTAACACACCATAATGAATCACACRTGCTTGTAAGTGTATGTTTCTCCTACAAAAATATTAAATTCATACACACGTTTGCTTGTCTGTGTGAGGAAACATTTCTGTTGTACCTTTATGAGGTCCTGAGCTATAAATTATTTGTGTATTGGCTGAGTCTAGAGTGAATGTCTTCATCCACAACTATTTAAATCTTTCACCTAGTTTCCAAAATTTAAAGAAAAAACAACAGCACCAAAACACTATTTAAGTGTGACTTACACAAAATCAATGCTTTCTTTTCTATCACTGCACAAACAAAAGAAGTAAACAATGCTACAATCATACTACACCACCTGCAAACATTGAAGCCCCTGCTTAATCAACATTGTCTTATTTTTGCTCTCCAACAGGTAAAGGCTTTAATGTGTTAGGTAGTGTATGTTTTTCACAATGTTGAACTCAAAGCTTCCTGAAATCAAATATTTCATTTATGAAGGCTCCAGCACACCCAGACATATCCAAAACCAGCATTTTTATGACACTGTACATAACTACCTTCCTCACCTCTTCTCTTTTCTGTTCTCTCAGGGCCCTACTGCATTTTGAAATAAAGTCACCACTAGGCTGAAAGCAAATTAAATTTAAGCACTAATACCTAAGTTGCCTATATGTGCCCTTAGAAACAACAAAACTCTTTGGTATATATTTTAATATTACAGTGCAAAATTTTAACAACCCAATTCTCTCTTGCTGTAACAGAAACTGAATACTACTCCTCTGGCATTTTGTAAAGAAAAAAATATTTTAAGAAATCTGCAAATTCAAAGAGGTTTATAASTGAGATTAATAAACGTTCCAAAGAACATGGAAGAAACACTAATGCAAAGCAAATAAATACCAGAATCTGAGTTCAAAAAAGGCTGTACTTACTCCTTATTCCTGCATTTAATGCATGGCTGGTAAAGGACTTTGGCAGCATTCCAGGTTCCCACTGGTCCAGAGCTAGACATGAAAGTATCTCCAAACAGCGTAAAAACACTGTGGGAGGAGGAACTTCCTGAAGACTCTACCAGCAATGTGTCAGAATTTAAAAGCCATATCTAAAAATGAAGAAATAATTAATTTTACTGTAGATTACATAATTTCAATTGGTTACTTTAACAATAAATCAGCTGATACCAAAGCCACATGCTTACAAARTTTCTAACAAAGTATTACCAGACATAAATTGATATTTCATTATTCAGCACAGTCTGCACAACTTCTGTGAAAGGAGAAAAAAGGTAAATTCAGTAAACAGTTGTCTGATTTATCAGTCCCTCTTAAGAACATTTCTCTGAAGTGGCCTCTTTTTGTGATTGTAGCACATTCCCTTTGGTAGTAACAAAAGAAACAGCCCCAAGTCATTTCTTTCAGTACAAGGTTTTATTTCTCCAATTTCTCATTTTTTTAGGCATTAGTCAAGCATATGGTGTTGAGCAACTGAGAGCTAAAGACAGGGAACTGAAAGACTGCCCACTGAAGTGCCAAAAACCAGGATTTTCAGAAGAAGCGTGGTAGTTATGACTGTATGGAGCTAATATATGCAAGGAAAAAGACAGCAATAAACATGGTGTAAAAGGAATGCTGGGATTTACAAACTGCTGCAACAGACCCTTACTTGGAAAATAAATCTTTACCAAATTTCATGATGGGTCTGGCATTCTTCAGTGCCATTTGCTCACAGCGATTTGAGGGATATTTGTTGCGAAAAGTTCTGAGAAATCTGAACTTTTTGCATCACATTATGAATCTTATTTAATCTTTGTGTGACTTGGCATCAGTGTTCTGACTTGGATCCAGAGCTTTCCTGCTAAGCACCATACAAATAAGTCAGGCTTTCCCTTTATTCAYAGCCTGCAGTAATGAAGTGAACCAAGTTAACAATGGAAATCAATTTTTACAAATCCTCTGTCTGTATGAAATGTTTATATATGAAATATTTATCACAGAAAAGGGRATTTATACAGTGCTGCTCACTAGAGAGCAATATTCTGCTTCTCATGATCTAATCAGCTTCAAGTAAAACAAGTTACATGATGTTAGGTAGCAGACACATGATATCCCCTGTGGAGGCAGAAAGCCATCATTAACAGGACACATAGTATATGTCGTAATTAAATGTGACAGTCACAATTTATCAGAGCCCAAGGCTCAGAACATTACAGTGGAAGCTTCATAAAGAAGGAATGAGATATATTGATAAAGATATCTTGGGAGGGGATGGGAGGAGGAGAATCACTGTAGCATATGCACATAAATGATGACAAGCAAGCCCTCTTGGCTTTGCAAGTAGCTGTTCATCAGTTTTGCTCTGGTAACTCTGTGTACACATTTATAGCCTAAACTGCAAAATATACCTCATTAGCTAGGACCATTACACAAGGTGCTTAAAGACAAGTGCTGAAGAGGTGTTGGGAGAAAATGGTGAAAAAACACAAGCCACTGCCAACACATTTAGTTTTAACTGAACAGAGTTTCTTCCTTTTGAAATTTCTAACATTTTGTGTGGAAGATGCTTTTCAGAAGCAGAATATCCTTCAAACTAGACAAGGGAACAATGCAGCAACAGCTGTCTGCTCCTTTCTAAATCCTTCTGCAATTTGCTGTAGAAAAAGCAACCAAAGCATGTAATTTGCAACCTGGTCCATCTGAAAAGCACTCATTTCTACCACAAGTGTTGGCATTTGGCATCTGACAATCATCTTCTACACCTTGTATGTACATCTCTGGCTCAATGGAAACACAACAAATCTGTGTTAATAATTTAGCATACAACACAGAGAAAACAAACGAATCTCTGGGGGTGGAAGGATTCCTGGCCATGAGAAAAATCAACTTCTGAACTACATTTACTTTTTCAGGCAGTATTTTACATTCTTTTCCTCATGCATGAATTATTTTTTGATCTTGCTTCCAGTCTGAGTGAATAATCACTCACCCAGACTCAGTTTGTTGACTCTAAGCAGTTTGTACATGTTATTTCTGGCTAACACAGTTCCATATTTGGATCTAGGTTTCAAGTACGTGCAATCTTTCCTTCCTTTCTRCCTTGTTATACAGCCAAATTCCTTCCACACTAACCCCAGTAAGAAAAGAAACTCCACAGAAAGATAAATACATAAAGCTCCGAATTCATTCATAATGTGATTGATGACCTTTTCTGAAATGACAGAATCAGAAAAAAAAAAGTATTTGGGAGGTTGCTGGTCTTTTCTTCATTGTTTTCAAATAATTTTGTCAATAAGCTTTAAGGATGTTTTTTGGAGAAAAGCTGCAACAAATCTATCTCAGTTATACTTCATGGGTCTTGAACCAAACATCTGAAATTCTACAACTTAGATTCGGTGATCAGTTTCTCTGTATCTCAGTCTGGGTCTCCAGTATTAATTTGTGCACAATTAGGCATCAATTTGAATTTAACATGGATTAAAAAAAAACCCAATTCTTTTCTTTTTCTTTGCTAGTTCTTTCTTAGTTATCGCAGACATTCCTATTACTTTCATCAGTACACAGTAACTAATGCAAACATCTTTCATTAAAGCTATTTTGCCCTCATACTCTGTTCAGGTAAAGATGTGGTTTCCACATATTTCATAAAGAATAAAGCTCTTTAACACAGCTGGGTAGCTAAGTCTCAACAAGATTCTCATTATCTCACTTCTTGATCACTGCAATGTCCTCCCCATCTCCAATCTTAAATGCAAACCTGTTCTGCTCATGCTCTCTAGGACATGGACAATAATCAGACTTACAGATTTCTCCCACTTTGTTACATATTAGTTTTCTTGGGATATCTTCCCACTCCCTCTCTGCTCACTCTTRAAATAGAAGCTGCCTTACTTTCAAGGCACTTTACAGTCTAATCCCACTCCAAAAACTGCAGTTCTGAACTGCAGAAACTTTCAGTACTGAAAGACTGGAGATAGTATTCAAAGAGCCCAAACTACCACRCAGTTTTGATTCTCACACATGTATCTTTTTTGGGTTTTATGAGATTGATCCCATCCACAAGATTAATTCCCTGTATCTATCCAGAAAACCACTTATTTACCTCTTTCAAAGCTATACTTTTTCACAGTACAGAAAAAATTAGCTATTAAGATGCTGCTATGCAGACCAATAATGTACCATTTTGCTTGTGTTCTCCTATCTCACTGTCTGCTGTCCTCTTACAGGGAACCCTTCAACAGTGGAGCAAAGAGAGGAGACAAGTGATTCACCTTTTACAGAATGTAAAGAGGGCAGAGACATAGGACAAATAAGGACCTCTGTTTGTAGCACTTTTTTCCCATGAAACAAAGAAACTTTTGCTTATTGACATCCTTAAAAAATAATATAAATAAAACATAGCTAGTATATGTTTTACACAGAATAAGTGTAACTTAAAAAATTGAAAGTCTTACTATGATATCTGTAAACAACATAATTGGTAATTCTAAATGATACAGAGGAATAGAGGAAAGTAAGTATACATATTATTTGTGGTTTAAAAAAATTTAAAAGACATGTGATAAACCTTAACTTTAATWATCACATACACAGTCTAAGTTGTGTGTATTCATGCAGGTAAGCACAAACACTGTGAACTAGTATCTTTGGCTCATTATCAAAACAAACAAGTGAGACAGCTGGTTCATGATGCATCAGTGATGAGCCCACTTGTGTACCCTGGCTGTGTGCTCACAGCCTCAAGCACCCACATTTTATTGTTAAGCTGTTGGCAATCATTAATATAAATAGAGCTTACATTGTATTTGAGTTCACAAAGCCTCTGAGTCCTAACACTTAACCCCTGACTCCAGAACACCTGCTGATGTGTATGCAGTAGCCAGAACCTCACTTTGGACATGCATAAGGGTTTTCTCATGTTAAATACTAAAAACATCAACAAAAAACTCACAATTAACCAATATAAAGGAAGAGACACCAATCAGAAGCCAGTCCCTATCTAATTCAGTCCACTCCTCTAATCAATACATTGGCAAAAATGCATCTCAGAGTTAAGAGTAAYGGCAATCTACGAAATGAGGGAATTTTTCTCTTAAAAAAAAAAAAACCAGTTTGCTGTATCTAAGCTACTAGACTTAAGCAACAGAATTTTAGGGAACTTGGGAATAGATAAGCTACAAGGGGAAAATCATAATGATTTTTAATGACTCCTCAATTCAATAATATATAATGATAATTATGGGTCTGCTAATGAAACCTTCATTTTATCATCACAGAAGAGTATTTCTCAATGGTTGTACAAATGTTGTCCTGGCACTAAAATTTATTTAAAAGCAACAGCACTGGAAGTTCCAAAATTATAGAACTTGGACAAAGCATATTATTCACTCAGCATCTGGAAGTTCCAAAATTATAGAACTTGGACAAAGCATATATAAAACAGTTCTTGTGATTAGATTACCTCAAGAAAGTGCTTTTATAAGTTTTTCCAGGGCAGGAACCTAAAATAATGTATTTCTTTATCTTTTGGTCTATGAATTATTTCTGTAAACTGCAAAAATACAAATTCTATACCTATATTTAGTTCAGAAATAAAAGGAAACATCCCTGGTTATAATAATCGTACAGTATTAAGGTAAATCTTGTCCATTCTAAAAGTTTGAGGAATCTAGCTGTCACTATCTAAATATMAAGTTTAACCAAGTTTAACAGCATTAGAACATTAAGTATAACAACCAGTTTTATTTTTATTTGCACTTTGCAATGCAATGCACTGCCTACATTAATAGTCCCTGCTGATTTGAGACAACGCTTTTGGAAGAGGCACTTCTAGTGATTAACGTAAAGAAGCAATGGAGCAAGACAGTGAAATATATATTAAAAAGCTAAAACTTAAGCTTTCCATTAACACAAAATAGTGTTATTTCTGTGCTACTTGTGGTGCTGTAGTACTTCCATTCGTGCATCAGTAAGAGAAAATTTCTACGTGTACATCTACTAGGATTAAAAACTCAGGAATTTTCTTACTTGAACACAAGTACCTCAGACCCGCTTCAAGAATCTGAATTTGTTAATTTTTTTTAATATACAATAATGAATACCATAAATAATACATTTTAGGAACTGGAATACATTTTTCAGCAAGATGAAGGTTTAAAAAACTTACCAGAATATAGGTTTTTCCATCATCTCCTTTAATGGTGAATCGAAATGTGCTTTTAGCAGAGGATAATTCCAAAAGACACTGAGCAACCATGCTCTGTACAAATTGAGACCTGTTTAAGAATTAACCACATATCATGCTTTCATAACAAYTACACAGACAGTCATTCATATCTATGCACTACAGGTAAATAAGTATCTCATACTTCAATTCCACTACATCCTACAGTCACATTTTACTGAAAGATGGGGCTTCTTTATCTTCAAACTCAAAAATAGAGAGCTTTTTATTTCCTGTAACAGGAATTTTTATTAGATGAGGATTCTAAATTGCTCCACATCCTTTATTTTGGCTGACACCAAATGTCAAATGATGAATAGAAGCTTTTCCCTATTGTATTTTATACATATGAAGACAAAGTTCAGAATGATGCACATATTTCAAATATAATTCACAGTAAGAAAGAATCATGATTACATCCTTGTATGTTACCAGCATGCTAGTCTTAAATTCAAACTGAATTACTTCAAAATTCAAAAGTCTCACTTCCAATTAAACATTTCAAGCTTTCCTTAATTTAACTTTACCTGACATAAACTTCTGTTTCCATAATTAGTTACCAGATATKGTGGAAATTTAAATAGCACAAAATAAAAAAGTATTTTATTTTGGATTATCACCTGAATAGTGAGACACTGTGACAAATTATACATAATATATTTCCTGCATGAGATGACAAACAAAACTGTACATGAGCAAATTTAAGCTACTTTGCCTTTTTAATGCTTAATTCTGTGATGATTACATAAAATTGCACTCTGTTATTGTATGTTATTATTCAAGAATCTACAACATTAAAGTATTTCTAGCATCCTTTCAAAAACATATACTTGAGCAAATTATCTGCTTTTTTTTTGTTACCTTGGTGTTGGACTGAAACTTCCCTCAGCTAGTTGAATAATCACCTCGGTGACATAATATTTAATGGTATCTAAAATGACAAAAAACGTTTTTCAAATATAACAGAATAACCAACTTGTTAAGATTAGACTGTAAGTCACCATATCACTATACTAACTAAACATTTGTTCAGTAGTCAGTTAAGAGGTGCAGCAGACGATCAAATTCTGCTTTGGTTCATAGGAGAAGCAACCAGAACAAAAAGCCTGCACTGCCTGAAGAAAACTGCTCTGAGCTAATTACAGGATCAGCAATTCCTCATTCATRTTGATCTTTGTTTAATGCAGGGAACAATCATCTTCAACCAAAGCAAGCAAGAGCTCAAGCCAAATCTGAAAGACGAATTGAAAGAACTTTCCTAAAGCACTGAGATCAGCATAGCTTACATAAGTATTTTAGTACCCTCTGCTGCTTAGTAATGCTGCAGTGAATCACAAGAGACAGTTTTAATAACAGCTCACACAGGGGAATAATTTTCTTCTTTGCTCAAAGAGCAGAATGGAACTTCTTTCCAAAAATCATACTAACTCAACACTCACACTGCATACATTCTGAATTTCAATGAAACTGTTCACCAAGAGCTCCACTAAGACAGCTTTTAACACTAAATGTAAGTGTTTGAGAATGTAATTTAACCTCCATCAATAAAGTCAGGTCAATGATGATCATACTGAAGATCTGCTGGGTCTATRTTGCAAATACAGCCTAACTAGAGGGCCAGCAAAACAGACTAAGTAAAAAAAAATCATTCTAACTAAACCTTAACATGTGAACAACTGGAAGATTCATCTGTTCCACAAGTTTTAAGGACAGATTGTCTTATGTTGACTTATCTCTCTCTTATCTATGTTGACACATACCATTAAAACTGGATGAAAGAAAGCATTTCAGGAAGACTGTTTCTGTTTAAAGACTCCAAAGGCTTGGTAATCTCACCCYTTCTCCAGGTAAATACTTCACTTTCTAAATTATCTTCACTGTTAGGAAAYTACATTTTACCTCTAAGTTTAATTGAAATCTGCTCCATGCTATGTGGATTCTTGGAGACAGTTCTTGGAGAAAAAGACAGTTCAGTCCTTCTCTTCCTCAGCCATTACCCTGAGTAAGGAATTGGTGCTWCTGCTATAAGGGTACTTGGAATTCAGGAGCTGTTTGCTCAGAGAGACAGAAGGTGTGATTTCCCAAGAAGAAATAATAAAAATATATGTTGATAGAGTTGGGGGAAGGAACTGCCAATGGGGGAATCTCAAAGCTGAATCTGGTGTCCACAGCTACACTGCTCTAATCCTGCTTTATCTTCCAGACTCACATACCTGCTCTCTAGTCTCTTTCCACAGAGATGCTCTGCCTAGGCTTATACCATGAATCTCTGGTTCATTTGTCTATTCTCTGAACTCTACCTAAATTTCCTACAGTACTGAAGAAATGTAGTCAAAACAATGGATATTCTATCTAATTTTAGCCCTGTTCAGAGTCCATACCAAAGCCCTGCACRTCCATACAGTGTTTGCCTTTCCCCTTTGCCACTGACCTATTACTCATGACCTTGTTATTCACACTCTTCTCCAAGCACTCCTTTCCCAAAGTCACATCTCGCTTTTGGGCTTTCCAACACTGTTCCTTAAATTTGGTTTCATTGAAGCCTGTATTGTTAGATCCTGTACAGGATAATCAGAACATTCTGTAACAAAAGACCTTCTGTCTTGTATCTCCTTATGACATTTTTTAAATAGCCTTTGCATTTTCTGAGAAGTTTTTCTATTCACCAGATCTCTGAACTGAGACAAGCTTACACTGACTGATGCAGTGAAGCAGAGGGAGAATGAAAGAAGGAACCCTGCTAACAACAGTCTTATCTATGCTTCCCTTCTGCTAATAACTGAATTTTAAAAACAACCAGACACTCATCTTTACACTACTTCAGGTAAACCCTGCTGATCCAGTATAATTACAGCTTTTCAACTGATAAACTCAACAGCTCATCAACAGATGAGGATGAGACATAACCTGTTTCTCTGACAAAGCTTCCTTCCCACAAAACCAGGCTCACTGTTAGCAATAAGATCTGCAGCTTCTAGTTGTGCTGATCAAATTCTGAATTTACTTTTCACTTATTCTCCAGAACAGATAGGAAAATAAGCAACCGATAATTTCTCAGGTCTCCATTTTTACTGGGATTCCTAGTAAACAGGAATCATGTATTGAGACTTCCAAAGGTTTGGAATTAGCCGAATACACCACAGAAGCAAGGGTAAAGAAAATTCCTGCTGAAAGTTGCTTTCAAGCTCTAACACTGGAAGCAACAATCTCATCTGTTCCAGAACGGAATGAGACAAACACACAAGAATCAGCCCTGCACTTGACTGATAAACTACTTTCCTCCAGTGTTTTTAACCTCCAGTGCACAAAGGCTGATACAGTCAAGTCTGGTTTTTTTTGTACATCTCATACCTGATGAAACTGTTTCTCCCAGCATTGTCTTGCAGCGCTTACAAATTACTCTGGTATTTTCTTTTGACTTCTGTAGGACAAAGAAATATCATTTAAATGTCACTCAGATATTCTGAAAAAGGAATGCATAATTGTAACAAAATTTACAGAGCAGATAGTGACCTTTGTACTTGCTTCTGTCTTCTATGTTTACATGCACACAGATTTGCCTTCACTACTTCAGCTTTCTACACTTGGATTGCTTGCAAGTTTCATCCTCATTTTAAAATCTGGAAATATATACACWCAGCACAACCTGTAATAGCTAATAGAAGAATCTTATAATATGACTGACTGGATGATAAAATGATAAACTAAATTCGATTTTGGTAAGGGTGAAATAATGCACCTGAAATTAAGTAATCCATAATATATACATAAAATAGTATGCTGCAATGTGACTGCTATTACTCAGTAACAAGTTCTAACCACTGTGGACAGTTTTACAGGCGTTGAATACCAGTTCAATGTTCTGCAGAGAGCAAAAAATGTCTGCAGATTATTTTGAGTTACTAGGAAACAGCTGAAGTACACAACCCAGCATGATATTTCAGAAAGATGCAGTGGATTCTGCTCTTGAACAACTCTTCTCCCTCAGTTCAAACAGATACAGAGAAGGTATTGACAAAGAATAAGAATTATTGCCAGAAGTGCAAARCAGTTTCCATATGTGAGATGAAAATACACATAACAGGACAATAATCAGAAAACTGATCTGTATTATGTATCATTGAGACACATAAAATAACAAATGTTTAGGAAAAGCTGAACAGAAAAAACCAAACATATGCCCTCATAGCTCATGCTATGAAATTCTAACCCTGTTTGTATAAAAAAAAGGAAGGCATTTTTCATACAATACATAATATAGTTTGGTACTCACTATATGAAAGCATTTTTCGTATTAAAAGTATACACAAGTTCAGAAAGTCTTCATAAATTCAGAGGAAGCAATGATCATCGAGGGCTTATTAAAAACAACAATGTGGATAACAATATCTAGTTCAAGGAGTCTGTACACTCYTCAAAACATCACTGAATATCTGCTTTAGCTTTATGCATCTATTATCGCCCTTTGAAAAAGATTTCATTTCTCAATGAAATTCTACCCTATAACTACTCTTATTACAGTGTTAATATTTAAATTTGATACATCTAAGAAGTAAGCACAATTCCGACTTTAATCTAAAGTCTAAACTTCAGAACTGGCTCTGTGTGAGCTTATTAACCTGGGGGTAGCACATTAGAGCTCTGGTCTGAAAGCAGCACATATATATAACCTTAATGATGGTCAAAAACAGAGAATCAAACTAAAAGCCTGAGATCTGACTATGTAGGAACTAAAGTCCCCTTGCTATGGAGATGAGAAAAATCATCTGGTTCATATATATGTAGTTATACCCTTTCCCAATTCTGACCTTTCTACTCCTCTCAAACATATGCAGTGAAATTACTTGCTCAGTGTGAAAAGCAAGGATAAATAGACAAGGTTTTACATAAGCCAGTGTTTGAGACTGGTACAAACACTGCACAGGACAAGTACAGAATACGCAGTACTGACTTGAAAGCTACAACTTGAGGGTTTTTTTCTGACTACAGTTACAGGTGCTGACTGAGAACTGTGCCTAAAAAACAACACTAACTCGTATCATGCTTCAATGGAAAAAGGGATAGTTTTAGCTCAACTAATTAAATCAATATATCTATTTGACAACTTGCAGCTGCTGGCAATCTGCAGATGCAGGTGGATCACAAGCCTAACAGTTTCTGTTTCTATTCCTAAGGATCCCTGATACAGTGTCAGGAAAAATATTTTCCCCAAGAGATACTATTAAGATGCTGCAAGACCACGTGACATTYAAAAACTATGTTACACTGGAAGACTAATAGATGTGACAAATATTTTTGCAATGGACGGATGCTGTCTTAATCCCATTGGAGTCTGGAAAATATTGTTTAAGCATCCCTGGTACATTTCTSCTACTATTCTGGTCATAGGCAAACATTTTCCAAAGAATTGCAATGCAATTAAAAAAGAACTTTTGTACTAAAGCAGACTGCAACAATATTCTCTGAAATGAGAACATTTATGCCAATAGCAATCTGTCTTGCCTGTAACTTTCTATTACTCATATTATGGAAGAATTTTATGCTTCAGTATGAGGAGTTTTTTCCTTATTAGTCCACTTTCTGCTAGATCTAACAGTTTTGCTCATTTGCTTGGCAGCTGAGTGATGCTGGAAATAAGCAAACACAGAAATGAGAATTCATTGCAAGTGGGAAAGATGTAAAAAAAGGGATTTGACACAAACAAGGAACAAATTCTCAACTTCAATGCAAGTTTAAGGAAGCAAACATGAAAATTCATCATCCTAAACAACTATTATATGCCTCTGACATAAAACAGCCTCCTCCCTCATTCAAAAGTTCTGCTGTTAYCCTGATTTGACCCACATCTCAATAACAACTTTGTTCCACATCCTTTTATTACATTTCTGCCTCCAAATCAATCTTTTTTTTCGCAAACATTCTCTTTGATGAAGAAGTGTGCAATATGAACTCCATGCACTGTGCCTCTTCCTGTATTTGTTCTGTTGTTCTAAAATCTCTTTAAGATTACTGAAATGCGAGAATTCATTTTGGCAATCTCTGGCAGAAAGCATTGTCCTCTTGGAAATTTGGAATCATCTACTCCGCCTCCTTCTCAAGGAAACTTAGAATAAATAACCCCATTGTCACAGAGTTAAGCCAAATTAATCTGCTTCTACCATGCTGATATCCTTTCAGGGTATCAGTCCTTATTTTCCTCTCCACATATTCTGCTTTTCAAAGAGTAATAGAACAAGGAACCCAAGGGACCACAGCTGCAAAACTTGAAAATAGGGACAACAGGACAAACTGCTCCCCAGGCAGAGAGGATGCTTGGAGCATTGCACCAACAACTATTGAAYTGCGAGAATTGCAGTGATTCTTCCTGGGGATTACACATCGCTATAAGCAGCAGGTAGAAATCGGGGTCTCTGGTRTTAGCTCTCAAGAGATTAAACATTTCATGCTGGGGATCTCTACAGAGTAAATCATCAATTGTTAACAGATGCAAATCGCTAAGGCAGCAATGCAGACGGATTTCAATAATCAGTTTTGATAYTTGGTGTTGGAAGAAAATGCAGCATACAGTGTAGGCCCCATCTTTGTCAGCACAAATGCAGACAAGCAGTAGATTAATAGTAAAGGTTTTATGGAACTGTAGGCTTTGGTGAACTTAGTTCCTCGATGTTCTTCCAGCAGAAGAAAAGATTATTGCTTCAACTTGTACTATACAAGTGCTAGATGTCCACGATGAGTAAAGTACTGAATTGTCTTTCTTCATGGTTTTTATCCCACCACTGACACATCAKCACCCCTACATTTYTTTTCCCTCTGGGCAACAACAAATTTTGATGTTTCYAAGCCAAATTACATCCTTCTTCCTACASACTTGGTTGATGAATCKATCTMGTCCTGGAAGACCTCAGAAACATCAACATGAAGAGCTATAACATGAGATGACAGGTTCCTTTCACTACAAAAAGCAGTCAAAAAACCTCAATTTTCTTATTATGCTTTAAGAACATAAGACATCCATATCTAAACCCAAAGCACATATTCTGRTATTTCCAAGTCTTTCTAAAAGTTGAAGTAAAAAGAAAAATCACTCTTTGTTCTACTATCCTTTGACAAACGCCTAAAATTTTGGGGGAAAACATTTGGGTGYAGAACCACATAACTAAGTAGCTTCTAATTCCTTTTCTAGGACTAAGTTCTACTTACATATCAAGGTGAACATAAAGACTATGGTGTGAGCTTCAGAAAATGTAAAACATAGCCTAGAATATTTTCTGGCTTCTCTACAGCTGAATGTCAAAAAATCCCTATGACCCTCAAAACAGTTCTGTAATACATACAAATTAAATAAAYTAGGAATGAAAGAAAGTACTTTACAATGAAAATGTTCAAATAAATTCMCCTAAGAATTAGTTGAAGAAAATACTTTACCAAGCTGGAGTCACTCTGAGAAACATTGTGTCCRGCCTCTGAGCAGCAAGCAGGGGATTCAGGCAGATGGGATTCATTTCCTGAATTCAGCAGAAAAAAAGTGTCTCCAAGAAAACAGTCACCATGCTGAGGGYGCAAAGGGCTTCTGGCAAATGGGTCAGGGTGACAACACCACTCTTCAACTAAATCACTCCAGTTTTCACTCGGTAGAGGAAGAACTCTGAGAAATTTCCTTAGAGGGAAGAAGAGACAAGTATTTCAATRCATTATAATTAATTTCTAAGACACTAAAAGAGAGTTTAGACTTCCTACAAATAGTGGGCAAGTATGGCATTTTCTCAAAAGGAAGTGCTTTACTCTCTTTTTGGTCAAAGACACTTTCTTTGGAAGTATTCTAAGAAAGCAATGGCTGAATTTCCTGCCAAGCATTTCCCAAGGGTGAATCTCCAATAATTGTAAGGCAGAATTTGGCACAATCCGCTCTTGAAATGAATCACATGGCAAAAATACAACAGCTTTACCCATTCATAAAAATATGACAATGCGCATATGCAATTACACTTATTATTACTTCTTGTAAAGCTCCCTTGCACCAAATGTTGATATAAAACAACAGAAACAGACTCATGCCACAGCAAGATTCAGCATGTTCTTTGTTTTACAGTCAGATACCAGACTTTGGTACAAAGCTAAATCCTGAATAAAATACCACAGCACTTCTTCATGTTAAAAACCCAACCAAAACATAAAATACAACAAAACAAAACAAAAAAAATTTAAAAAAAAACCCAAATCAAACAACAACAACACCAAACCCACCATCCCCCCCCCCCAAAAAAAAACACAAAGGATAAGTCAATCTTAATTTAGATTCTGATACTTGGATCCAAATTTCAAAAGTCATATACAAAAAAAAGGCAAATCCCTCTCTCACAGGTAGCTGTACGGACCAAGGATACTGCTTCCTAAAATACTATTCTGCTTTCATTATCATTTGTAATTGCGTTTTCATTTTCTCCTTTCTGCCTCGTTTCTTTGAATGCTTTCGTTTTGTAACCCTATTTCTTCTGCTGTCTCCTGAAACTTTTATACAAAATTTCTTGATTCTACTCCTTACTTAAAACTTTGCTTATGCAAATAAAAACACAGCTGCTAAGCCAGCAGTTAGACATCCTCCCTTTCTTGCAGTTCCCWGACCAACATTTTCTGAAGATGTCAGTTCTTTGTATTGTAGTTTCTTGGCCTTTTTGAATTGTTCGGTAGGTGAAATAATCTTTTATAAAAAAAAATCCTTTTTTTTCTAGATAGACAATACACTTTAAACTCTGCTTGCCCCATCTGCAGATGAAAGTTGGAATAAMGCATCCTCTGACCCAGCTTTACCAAAACTAAATAGTCACCTCTCAGCACTACCCRTGTCTGTGTTCATTTTCTGTGGTCTTAAGTATTTCTTGAGATACAACTCAATTCTGCCAAAYTGAGTTTAGTTCTGGCCTAATAACTGATTCTTCATCAACCTTTACAATTAGTTTCAGTGCCTGAAGTCACACTGAAAAGTCTTCCTGTATTGCTTTTTATACTAACATAACAAAAAGCTGGTAYTGTTCAGCAATGTTTTTACAAGGGAAAAAAAAAAGAGATTACCTTAAACCACAGACTAATGCTGTTCCATTTCATTACATGAACATTTCTTTACCCTCACAACCTACAACATCAAGATCTTCACTTCTTTTCCAACAGAAGCAGTTTYTCCAATCAGAATTTCCTAAACAGACTCCTCCTAACTTTGAGCTATACAGAGAATATAGCATTTCCACTGTATTTTAGGCTTTTGCCACTCATAGGGGGGAAGTGATATCCTAGATCACCAGAACTGGAAAAATGTAATACGAAGAAAAAATGGAGCTTTTCAGAAATACAAACAAACAAAACCAGCTTGAGGCTTACTGTGTATTCACTAAATTGAGGCTGCTAAACACYATAATAAAACCCAGAAAATAGGATGATTTATCTCCCTAAACTTGYTCCTAATAAATGAGTTTCTACTTGAAGATAGCCACCTAGGCTGCCTTCACAGTCAGAGAGCAACAAACAATTCTCAGGTTGGGACCTTTAAAAGAAGCTTTCTCCTTCTGCAAGTGTCTGATCTAGTCAGGCTGAAACTCCTCCTGGAGATAGTTCTCAGATTCCAACCAGAAGAGTAGGTAATCAACTTATTTTTAAAAGGATTGAAGTTAAGCACCAGTGTATGAGAGCCCAGCCATAAGGATATAACCCTTATATGGTCTTCCAGGCTAAGGCAAGTATTTGACCATAAAGATCCCTGTAAGGCTGGATTAATCAAAGTAACCCCTAATGCCATTAACTAATACTCAGTAATATCACTCTATCTACAGAAAACTGGAAGTAAAATGGATTTTAGACTTTTAAACCTATAACTGTTCTGTTCCCATCCCCCATGGGAAGCCTGGCAGAATCTGTGGTCCCACAGAGATAGAAAAGCCCACACTGGAATAARTTTGCTGGCAGAACTTGTGGCCCTTTTCATTAAATTTTGTCTTCCCTGTCCAGCTGATGAGGGGAGTGATAGAGAGGCTTTGGTGGGTACCTGGCATTCACCCACAAGCCTTTAAGAATTTCTTCACGACAGAAACAAAGTCTTAAAAATTTATTTTATATATGAGGTACACTTAGCCTAACTGGAAGGAGACAAAGAAAAAAGAAAGTGCCCCTAATTCTTTGCAGCTCTTACATGATGGAAGAAAAAAAACTAACAATTTTCTCTAATGCGGGTAATGTGAGGGTAATGAAAAAGAATCAGAGAGCACAACCCTATCTGTGAAGAGCTATCAGATTTATGTAAGGAAACAGACTGAGGCAGAGGATTTCAGAAAATGTATAGAGGCAATTTTGGTGCACCAAGGAAGGATTACTTACATTTAAACCATTCCTAGTATATTTCTTAATCTAACCTTTAAAATGAAGGCTCTTGCTTCAATTGAAGATTACTGCCACCTTCTTTGCAGCAACTTCGTAGCTATTGGAAGAGTTTTATGTGTTCTCCACAACCTTATCTAGACTAAATCCCATTTACTTCAATTTCTTCTCAAAGGTATAATTTTCTAGATCTCAGGTTTTACTTATTACAGACCCTTTCCTAGTAATTCACACTTTAATTAAAGTTCTCTTCCACACAGTTCTGTAACTTCCCTTCAATCCCTCCATCTCTGCTGTCACTGTCATACTTAACTCATCCTGGAGGGAGGAACACATGAATTCTGTAGCTAGAAGTTCTGACTATGCTACTCTCTTCCTTTKGGAAATGCTGGAACAGAAGGTGTTGGATACACTGGCAGCTCCACTCTTCTACCCCTGTCTGAGTCTTTTTTAGTGGCAACATTCAAGGGGCTCAGAGGCTTCCTGCAAGTATGCCAAGTGAAAAGCTATGGACATGCATTCTTTTTCCTTTCTCAAAAATTCTGCTTGTGTCACATTACAGGATGCAGAACCAAAAGATTTAAACTACATGCATATGAATTTGATGTGCTGAAATTGAGGAAAACACCCACTCAGAGATGCGAATATAAAAGTGCAATGTATTTTGAAAGCAAATGTTACTGACTAGAAATTAGAAGTTTCATTACTTTAGCAATGCATCAAAATAAGAGTTTTACTAGACTTTCTAATGAAAGTTACAAAATCCTCTTTCAGTTACATTCAGACTAGCCATAAAACTGAAGTTTAGAGAAGGCAACATATTTGTATTATCATTTTGAGTATTASGAGCCACACAGATCATAAAAGGTTCTAAGTCCATCTCTAACAATTTTTATATATTCAGCTGAAGCTGTCAAAATTGCTCATCAGAAGAGCTAGATAATGCAGSATCTTTTTATTAAAATTCTCGTTCACTCCGCAGACTTTGTAAGGAACAGAGATAAGGCCGAGTCACACAACTAAGACACAATTCCAGTATTTCCCAAATTCAGCACCCCTGAACTATGAGAAGGCAGGCTTTGCTTAACAGATAAAAGGAAGCTATGGTCAATATTCTGAGCAGCCACTCTATAATTACAGCATGATGACCAAAGGAAATTTACAAGAGACTGAAAGTAACTGAAAAGGATGCCAAAAGTGCAGAGGAAGAAAGAAATCAAGACGTAAATGAATAAACAGCTAAAAAGTGCTTGAGATAATGTTGCTTTTTGTCATCTGTAGTGCTTCAAATGTGTTCTTGTCTATCAGTTTCAAATAAATACATTTTAGCTATCTCTATACAAAAAACATGAATACCAATCATGATGGCATTTATTGCTATAAATACAAGACACTGCAGTACTCACCGGTCTTTTACTACGACGTCACCACAGGACTGACAGTAAAAGACGTAATTCTTGTTGGATTTCAGGCTTTCCCGCAAAGTGAAAACCAGATCTGAGATGTAAGGAAACATWTTAATCTTCAAAATTGTGTGAAATTATCAGTCACTTGTACAAAAAAAATCCTGCCAAATACCTCAATCCAAAAAGGATAAATCTAACAGACAAAACAAAATGCTGACATTTGACAGCCTTAATTTTTTTACCTGTAGAAGCAAGTATTCAGATTTAGGAAAAAATTGCCATCTCTACCTCGTGCCCCATATTACTGAGAAGGAACTGTACATGAGAATAATTATCTTCAAGGCGCAAATCGTCTCCAGAAGGGAATTGATATATTGATTTCATTGCAGAGATTATAAAAGTCAAAATTTAATGCCACTCTTTTGTAAAAGTATTTCTGATAATCAGTGYATCTGCAATATGAGGGGACACCCCAACATGCACCACAAAGAGTCAGGACGGGGAGCAGGGGGAGGCACTAGTTTTCAGTCATTTTCAGACAGGTAAGAAACCAAACATTGTGGAAGCACTCCAGGAAAAGATAGTGAGCAACGGCCTCTGCAGGCCAGGAAAGCAAAAATGGTCTCACAAAAGGCTGCTCAAACAACTTTTCCAAAGTTAAAAAAGATGCCATAAAAGAAGCTATAAAAGAAGGTATAAAAGTTACTATTAAATTATTTGATAGCATTAAGTAGAAAAAAGTAAAACTGTAAGCCTAGTTCTACAAATGAATATGCTTTATATCACTCACTTTCTCATACGTAAGAATCAAAGTATACTCTCAGCACTGACATTCAGTATTTGAAATTCAGGATTCAATCGCAAAAGGAAAATACTTTAAGAGGTTCCAGAATTTCAACTACTTTTGCATAATAATATAAAACATCAAAACMTAAAATATAAAACATTATCCAATATATACACTACCATCTGCTTCACATACTTATTTTTCACTATTATGGCTTTGCAAGGCAAATTTTTAAAACTTCAGCTTTGCTCTTTTGAAATGCCTCGCTAATAGGACACATTAGATAATTTTAGTGTAATTGAGTTGTCAAAGCACWTGCATAATTACAGATTAATGTACAGATGCAACTTTAGAATTGAAGCAACATGTTTCTGGTGCTGAAATCATTGCTGTATATTACATAATCAGCCTTTTCTACTTTAAAAGCTCAGAATGGTAATTTTGTRTTATTTAATATATCTTTTGGTGTCACATACTATGAAATAAATCTAAACATATTGAGCTTGGGTGCCAGGATGAAAGAAAGCAACAGCTGTACTACCATGCTTTCTATTTACTGCAAACACATCCTCATCCCAAATTAGCATCATGGAAATAAAGAAGGTAACTTTGCAGATGTTACCTGTGACATTAACCTCTGCAAAYCTCAGCTGTGAGAATAATGAACCGCAACACAAACCCATAATCCTTTATGATTAAGTGGTCAGGGATGGACAAACATAGTCTGACTGACTGCACGAATTAGATGACTGCATTACTGATAGGATGGAGAGCAACGGGAACAAATCGAAAGTTAATTTAGATTAGATATTAGGAAGAAAYTCTTTAATGTGAGGGTGGTGAGACACTGGAACAGATTGCACAGGGAGGTGGTGGATGCCCCAATCCTGACAGTGTTCAAAGACAGGCTGGGTAAACCCTTGAGCATCCTGGTCTAGTGGGAGGTGTTCCTGCACATAGCAAGGAAGGATTGGGACTAAATKATCTTTAAAGTGCAATCCAGTCCCKTAGCATTTTATGATTCGAAGATTTGCAGCTGCCAAACACAAAACAGGAGAGAAAGRAAATAATTTTTAAGTCTTATCGGAAAGCACGGGGGAGCGGGGTAACGCTGAGCAGCACCCAAACACACCGCCTTTCCCTTTCATTACGTCATTTCTGCACTTTTGCTTTTCAAAACTGACATTCCCAGGAGGGGTTTGCTCTATATAATCTACACCTCGCAGCCTCTGCCCTTACACCCAAGGGGTTCCAGGCCACCCTCCCGGATTCCCCCGCCGGCCCTGCCCCGTCCCCCCGTCCCTCACCGGCGGCGGGCGGCGGGCGGCGCAGGCGCACGCGCAGGTGCAGCCCGTCCCCGCGCAGGCKCCGCAGCCCGCGGCACGAGGACGGCGCCAGGCTGACCCCTGCCGGCAGCGCCGCCGCATCGCAGCTCCCGCCGCTCCTCACTTGCAGGGAATCCGCGCACACCGCCACCTCCACGGGCGCGCTGGGGAGCTCCGCCGCCGCGCTGCGGAGGAAAAGCAACGGGTATGCCTCGGSAAGGAGCTGGCGGGGCGCGCTGCTGCTCTACACAGCCGCGCCCCGGGATCCACGCGGTGAACGAGGAGCAGCCGGGAGAAACAATCCACCGTTCTCAGGAAACATTTATTTGCACAGCAGCCCGGGCAGTGCCGAGTCGGACAGGGAGAGGCGCCCGCACTCAACCCGTTCCCCGCGCTGAAGGCTAAGGACGCCAAAAGCCAGACCCGCCGCGCCCCCCGGCTGCCCCGCACGGCCCGAGCGGCGGCGGGCAGCAGTGCCCCCGCACTACCGGATAACCAGCAAGGCGCTCTGCGTCCCCCGCCTGATCTCCATCAGGAACGCGGCCGCCATGCCCGCACGGACCGGCACTGCCGGCACTGCCAGGTAGCGGCCGCTGTCCCGCCTGCGCAGGCGCGGGGCCGCCTCCCGCCCGCCACAGCGCCGCCTGCACGGAGTGCACAGTGAGGGAATCGCTGAGGGAATCACTGAGGGAATCACAGTCTCATCCAGGCGGGAAGAGACCTCTGTGATCACCCAACCGGCCCCCCGGCACTACCGCTGTAACCCACAACCACCACCCAGCTCCACATCCATATGCCTCTTGAACRCCTCCAGGGATGGTGACTCTGCCACCTCCCTGGGAAATTTATTTCAACGCTTGACCACCCTGAAAATGAAAAACATTATTCTAAYGTCTAGTCTGAACGTCCCCTGTCTCMGTTTAAGGCCATTCCYCCCAGGCCTGTCACTGTWGGTRKAAGARACCGRCCCCAAAAAASACCTYTCAGGGAGTTGTAGAGAGCAATGAGGTTCCCTCTGAGCCTCCTTGAGACTAAGCAACACCAGCTCCCTCAGCCTTAACTCCTAGGACATGTTTTCTAGACTCTTCACAAGCCTTGTTGCTCTTCTCTGGACATGCTCCAGCATATCAATGTCCTTTTTAAAGTGAAACTGATCRCAGCACTCCATATGCGGCCTCATCAGCGCTGAGTACAGAGGGACAATCACTGCCCTGCTCCTGCTGGCCACACTATTGTTATAAACACATATTGTAGTGTTGGATTTCACAAATATTAAGATGAGTGCTGTGTGTGTGATAAACACATATTGTAGTGATGGTTCTCGCAGAGATTAAAGGTAGATGCTGTATGTTGTACATCATGATATAATGTTGTCTTGTAGAAGAAGTTTAGTTATGTAAACGTGATTGTGAAATAATTACTGCTCTTATTTTCTTTGTAATTCAGATGTAGTTATAGAACACTTTTGATTATCTTGCAATAACTGAAATATTGTAGATTGTAATTTAAACTTTTCCAAGTCGAATTTTTTTTTGCACATTATAGCAAAACTATACAAGAAGCTACAGGGAGACTCATTGAGATTATGAATGGTGCTCTGGCTGCAAATACACTGACCAAAAGATAAGATAAGGAGAAAGGAATGTATGAGAAAAGGATCACTGTCCCCAAGGCTATCAGCACAGACCTTGACCAAAAGGGGGAATGGATGAGTATTAGAAAAAGTCTCTGGTCAGAGGAKCTTGTAAAACATCCATCGTTTGCAGCAAAAGGAGTCTGGCTGGTGAGACCCCCAACCTTCAGATAAGCTTATCTGCATGGAAAAGTCAGGGGTGTTGTAACCCCTGTTATAAATACTTCTCTATCGACAAAGACCATCTGCTGAAATTACGGAATAGGGGTCACATAAACATGACCCCAGGAGCATAAAACAACAAGACTGTAAAAAGGCGGATCCATGTTAAAAAGTTACTAGACAAATTTAAATATGCATAAATGTCTATGAATAGGCATTAGGCTCATGTAGCACAGAATGTATTTAAAGAGGTTTCTGTCAATACCCAGCGTGTCTCTGGCAGATTGCCAAGCACCCGACGTCATATTCTTTTGCTTTCATGTACCCTATTGTCATTTATTAAAACCCTTTAAATTTTAACAAGAAAGTGAATCTCATTTTTCACACTATCGATACAGGCCAAGATTCCATTGGCCTGCTTGGCCACCTGGGCACACAGTTCACTCATACTGGCTGTTAATCAGCTGACCCGATTTCCTTTCTGCCCAACAGCTCTTGAGTCGCTCCTCCCTGAGCCTGTAGCACTGCATAGGGTTGTTGTGACCCAAGTGCRGGATCTAGCAGCTCAGCCACAGTGGTGCCCTGGGTGGCAGTGGCAGGAGGGTGTCCCAGGGTCTGCTGTGCCCCCCAGCTTGGGTGCAGCTGGCAGTAGGRTCAGGCCTGGGTGCCCAGGCCTGGAATCTTATCCAATCCCGAAGCCCCAAGTCAAGGTCTGCACAATCAGCTGGTCTCACAGGGTTTTCTTATTCCCAGCCTCTTCTGTGTCAACATCGGGCTGTCATCTCCTGCTTTTCCTGCCACATCACCACTGGGAAGAGCCTGGATCCATATTCTCAGGCATCTCCACACAGGAATTGTGGGCTGTGCTTGGGTGTTGGTACTCAGGATTTGTGGTCAAATAGGGTTGATAACAAACTGCTGTTTTAGCTATTGCTGAAAMGTGCTTGCACACTATCGAGGTTTCCTAAGTGCCTCACTCTGCTCTACCCAGCAAGTAAGCTGGAGGTGAAGAAGAGGCTGGAGCAGGGGGCAAGGTCGTACAGCTGACTTGAATCAACCAGAGCAATGTTCCATGGCACATAACATCATGCTTGGCAGTAAAAACTCAGGGYGTCGTCTTTCCAAAGTGACCATTGCCCAGAGACTGGCTAAATATCAGCAGCATTGTGGGAGGTGGAGCAATTGTCTGCATGTTTGGGGGGATTTTTTGCTCCTCTTTCCCTCATCTGCTACAACATGATTGTCTTAATCCACAGCTTTTCTTGCTTTTACAATTCTAGTTCTGTCCCTGAACTAGCAGCTGGCTGGGGTCACCCCATCATGACCACAAAGTTCAGTCTGCACAGAGGCTTCTGCTAAGACAGGGGCAGGCTCCCCAGGCAACACTGGGGATCGTGTCCTGTAGCAGGTCATTAACCACTACTCACCCCCTTCCTTGTGAGAAAAACCTCTCCCCACTCTTTCTTCRCAACTTTACAAGTTAGCCTGAATTCCTCCTGATCGATGTGACAGTTCTTGAATGTTGTCACATTTCACTCATAGCACRCAGACCCTCAGCACAGGCAGCTGCTGCTCTGGGGTGAGGTTTCATACTGCCTCTTATGAGATCTTTGATCAAGAGACTGTAAGTCCACCCTGACACCTCTGTGTGACTTTCCCTTAGCTTATGAGCACTGTCACCACTGCACACTTCTTCCAGGATGCCACCCTCAAAGTATATAAGAAACTGATGTTCAGTATTCAAGGACACCAAGGAAAGAAGCTTTTGCTTTGTAAAAGGAGTCTTTCAGCAATGTCAAAAGTGTTTACTTTTTTTGAAGTCACAAGACATTCTGTGGTTACAGAGAGTTATTTGAAAACATGATCTGCAAAGCTTCAAACAAAAAGGCAAATTTGTACATGTCATTTTTAGAGCAATTTATTACTGAAGACATGATTATTTTGAAGTCATCTTAGTCCTGGGAGTTATCAAAACCAAGTAGGAGAGTCCCAGAGAAGAAAATGGAGTAAGGTTCGATTTTGGTGGGAAAAAATACAGCAGACAATAGTCAACAGTTTCACTGGAGTTATTTTGTTGTTTTTTTACAAAGCATGAATTTATTGAAGTATTCTAAGATGTGGACTGTACTGTCTACATGTTCTTCTGAGTGTGGTGGTTTGGGATTTTGTTGTTGYTCTTTCCCTTTTTTAAGGAAGAAAATAAATTAGTCCACATGGTGGGTTTCATTTTTAATTACGTCACAAACCAATGTTCATATTGTGCATTAAATTGTTTTWGACAACTAAGTCATACATCAAACATAAACCCCATGTAATTATAGAATTGACTGCTAGTATTAGTAAAAGGGCCTTTGATGTTACAAAGKCTTACACAAGGCTACAAAGTCATGAAAAATCTAAAGTATGCATAGGGTGTGAGCTTCATTCCTTCAAAATTGTCTATTATAGGTTTCTCACCATTTCTGCTGTGAAGTAATTACAGAGAAAGGAAGGTAAATATCCTACAGAGCGAGTGCACCTAACATCAGTGCTGTACACAGCCCAGTATTTTGACTCTAACATCAGTAAAAGGAGGAGCTAATAAGGAAGAGCTTCATAGAGTGGTTACTTCATGATACTTCCCCTGTGGGTACATCCCTGCATAATTCCTTCAGTGTACACTTACGTATGTGTTTGTCATCAAAATGAAAAATGTGTCCTTCAGCCTATGGATAGTGTGCAAGTCCCAGCCCTTGGTGCCAATATGTTCTACAAGTTTTCTGCTTCSCAGAAAAGAATTTTCTGTGCCTCCTCATTCTCATGTTTTGGGGTTTGGTTAACAATAATTTTGTTGCCTTTCATTATTTTGTAGAATTTGATCAATCCTTCCCACTGCCTTTGCTCTTTGCATTGAACAGTCCCAGTCATTATTGCTCTTTCTGTAACACAGCAGTGACATCTCTCCACAGTGCCTTTCCCAACTTCTCCACAACCCTCTTGAGCCGTGAAGACAAGAATTGATGCAGTAATCAATCTGAGGCTGCAACAGCCTTTGTACAGCAGCCAAACAACTACCCCTGTCTTGTTCTCAATATTCTTCCCAACAATGTACAATGTTTTTTTGATTGCCACTGCACATAAAGTCGATGAGACAATTTGAAAGAAGTGTTTTGTTGCTCTGAGCTGTAACTGCCACAAGTAAATTCAGCACAAGKGAAGCCTAGAAATCCAAGCACTCTGCAGTGCAGTAGCATGTGAAAGCGCATGGTCATTTATTGTCAGTCACTTCTGCTCTGTGAAGTTCACCACTGTTAAATAGCTCCAAAGGCATGAACAACCTAGTTAACAATTACCTCTCGAAGGCATTTGTAAGTATCTTCAAAGAAAAAAAAAATTTAATTGCACCATTTTAATTAGAAATACAGGGCACGTAGAGTTATACTTGATGCCTCAGAAAACCACTGGAAATTGTCAGCTTTCCAGATAGTAACTACTTTTCATCTACCAATTCCTGGTATCTTTTAATGAGAAAAGGAATTGCATTTCCTCTTTRTTATTATCCCAAGTCTGGAGAACAAAATTAGACTTCATTAAATATTGGCTGGCAACAGAAGTCACCAAGTAGAAGATTTATAAATATTATGAGATTTTCCCCTGGCAATATTTTAGAAATACTTGTTCTCAGACAAAATCTAAAATATTAATCATGTAAGCTGAATGCACTTTTATTTTTTTGCAGTTACTCAAGTCATTTATAACCATAAACTTTGTTTGCTGTTACRAAGCCTGCTTAAATTTGAGAACCATAATGATGAATTTAAAACTAACAGATTAC